GCGTAGAACAAAGGCTTTTTTCCGCGGTTTTTGACCGTTTCACTTCGCTTTTTCGCCATTTCCCCGCTTTTTAGCACATGTGCAACCATTTTAGACACAGTACCAAATTATCGTGCCAACTGCCTCTAATAAGAGCTGGTTTCAGCTATGGTTGTTGCGTTTTGCTCTCGTCTTGGCTGGACGTATCTATGCGACCTACTGAAGGGTTTCGCCTCACGGCTCGCATTTGGCGTACGAAGAGAACTCACAGAACTCGTTTCTATCGCAGGAATCGATGCCAGTCGGTACGTCTGCTTCCAGCACACATCCTGTTTTACTTGTTGTTTATGAAAGTGAATTACTTTTCAGAGCTAGAGTTTTCCACGAGCACGGTATCACATCGATGGTAGAGCTGTCCAATTGTACCGTGAAAAAAATTTCCGATGTCCTATCGCTAGCCGTTCCATTCAATAGGTACGCTTTTCTGACGTTCTATAATGCAGGTCCCAAGCGGATTAGCTGTGATAGGTAAACTCTATGGTCCAGCGATGGTATATGTCGCTTGCCTGTGTTTTCATTCACTTCTTCCTTGGGATACTGTAGGTGATGGGCTGTCGTGATTGGCTCAATTGGCGTCGCGAATCGTGCGTGTGTGTGCCTAATTGTTCGTGAGCGAGACACCCGTATTGAGGCCGAGAACGCGGCAAGAACGTCCCATTTAACGCCGATCGAAGAAAAGCAAGGTCTTTTGCATTCATAACTGGTAAAGGAATATGAAAATTACTGACAAAGATGATGATACTTACTTTTTGGAGTTGCCATTTACAACGTTCTATGTTGGAGAGGCTACTCTGGAAGGATTTGTGGCACATTACTATCTTACAGGTTGGATATTTGTGGGACTTTCAACGAGACTACCATGCAACTCCTGAAGAACTTTTTGTGAACGCGTATTTGTGTATGGAAATTTTGAGGGCGAAAGGTGGAATCAGGGGCAGATTTCGCTTTCCCAAACTGATCAAACAATCTGAATTTGCTTAGTAGGCCAATTATCTACATTCACATATGAGAAGTTGTTAGTTTTCGTTTCCTACGCAGAAGTTCTATAGCAGGACTTTGCAGTTTGTAAGTTCAGATGCCCTTCCCGTTTGCAATTAGTGGCAATTACCAGTCTAGCTGAATGTTAACGTCATTTCTGCTCACAAATTGGTTTTCCTTAAACTGTTTAGGTACAAAAAATGTTTGCAGTTTATTGTTTCGGAAGGGTAGGGACATCAGATACCCTTTATCGCATATTTATAGTGTAGTGTCAGCCAAAGTCGGACCTGATCCCATACATCCGAGTATGCCGAAAAATTTTCTCAGTCATTGGGAATGGACTCATTCGTGTATGGGATACACAGACTTTTCACAGGGGCAGCTTGCCGTATTGCAATCCATCCCCCCACCTGTCAAAATGCCTCCCTACCTCCCAGCAGGGTAGAGCATCGTAGTGTGTGGGAATGTCCGGTTCAGTACGTACCTCCCCCCCTCCGAAAAAGGATCTGGCTGGATCCCAAACACGGCATAATTTTCTCTCAAAGGCACATACGACCGTTCCTCCTATCCCCTCCTTTTCCAACGACCATATACGACCCCCTCCTTAGCGGAAAAGTACACCCTCTCCCCATGTGTTTCACACAAATATGCTGTATTCTGCCTCCCAGATAGGAAGCCGACTTGGTTTGCTTAGAGAGAATGATCAACGCAAAGCGGCCTATTTCAACTTGCTATGCAGGCTCAGTATTACTCTTTGCAACTCCTTCGTGATATTTAGAAGGTGCAAAAGTTACGGTATATGCTGGAGGAAGGGCACGCCCGCGCTGAAGATTCCTCCACTGGAGTGTGGGGAGGGATCATATTTGGAAATGGTCTTCAAATCTCCATGGCGTGCCCTGGAAAGAGCCGTCTTCCTTGTCCGATCCGTAAGAAGGTGAATGTACGGGCCAATTGTTCTACGATGTCTGAGGAAGAAAGGTTCATTAGAATAAGAGGTTGAGTGGAATAGCCGTCGATAGCCAAAGCGACCTTCAGTCACCAGTTTTTGGAAACGTCTTGACCTCAGAGGTGTTTCGATTGGGCGTAGTTAAATTCATTAGCATCAGATTTTTGTCGTTGTATTGTTTGGTGTGGGATACAATATGGATGCTTTGTTGCGCGTCTCAATTACTGTATCCGCATGGTGTTGGGTGGTAGCGGGTAATTGCTATGGATACCGTAATTGGTCGTAAGGTCATATCCCAAAATGATGATGTACAGGTATTGCGCAATGTGAACCAGGGATAATATCTGTAGTCAATTCCAAGCATTCCCAATCGTGAGCATGTTTTTTTGGCTGAAATTTAAGAAGGAAAGCGCGAAGTTGTCTACTTCAGCAGCAACTCATCAGACGGCTTAAATGAATGGTTATTTGGTGAGCCACGTATACGTCTGGAAGAAGCCGCAGTTCTTCTCAAGGAACGTGCTTTCGAAGCAGTCAAGGACCATCTTCGGTGAGTGGCAGTTCAGAAAATAGTGCGACATTTCGTGGAAAAGCTGCTCCCTTTATAATCCAAAAGTTTTCCGAAGAGCTTGTTACTTTCTGGACCGCTTTGGCGCAGCGCTTTCCAAATATAAGAGTGCTGAGTTACGGGCAAAAGTCAGGCCAACTCGGACGGACGGAACTCGAGCCCGTAT